TTTTTTTTTTTTTTGCAAAATAATATTTTTCTATGTTCTTATCTAGAAGTTTTGTAGTTTTAGCTTTTACATTTAGGTCTGTGATTCATTGTGAGGTAATATTTTTATTTGGTGTGTAGGATCAAAATTATATTGCGGTTGTTTGTTTGTTTTTGTTTTATTTTGTTTTGTTTTGGCTTTTGGACATCCAGTTGATCCAGCAATATTTGTTGAAAATAATGTTCTTTCTCTGTTGGATGACAGTAGTTCCTCCTTATCCATGGGAGATACCTTCCAAGACCCCCCAGCTGATGCCTACAAACCTAATACAGTATCAAACATGATTGCTGTCAATCAGAACACATCTGTTCATGTCTTTCACCCACAAATTTAATGCCTTTTCCTTCTTAACTAAGCACTTATCATGCACTGTGGCTGTAATTTGTGTAGTTTGAGGTGCAACAGCAAAATTGGCACAAATTTCTTTTTCCGTCTTCACAATTTCATTGATAGAATATTTGTCCTTAGCGTACATCTTAGCGACTTCATCATATGATTCTTTTCCTTCCAAGTTGAGAACTTTCACCTTTTCACTTAAGAGAAGCACTTTAAGGCTTCTCTTTGGTGTATCTGAATTGCCAGCATCACTACTCTTGTGCTTTAGGGCCATTAATAAGTAAAATAAGGGTTACATGAACACAAGCACTGCGATACTGTGACAGTGAATCTGATAACTGAGACTGCTACTAAGTGACTGACAGGCAGGGAGCACATCCACTGAATGGATTCACATCCCAGGTAGGACAGTGTGAGATTTCATCACGCTACTCAGAAAAGTGCACCATTTTAAACTTATGAATTTTTTATTTCTGGAATTTCCCAGTTAATATTTTCAGACCACTGTTGACCATGAGTAAAACTATGGAAACTGAAACTGTGGATAAGGGGGAACTACCATGGCAAAAAATCAGTTGACCACATAGTGGGTATATCAGTCAGGGTTCTCTAGACGGACAGGACTAATTATAAAAGGGAGTTTATTAAGGAGTATTGACTCACACAACCACGAGGTGAAGTCTGCCATCTGCAAGCTGAGGCACAAAGAAGCAAGTCCAAGTCCTGAAACCTCAAAAGTAGGGAAGCCGATAGTGCAGCCTTCAGTCTGTGGCCAAAGGCCCTAGAGCCCCTGGCAAACCAGGGGTGTAAGTCCAAGAGTGCAAAAGCTGAAGAACTTGGAGTCCAGTGTTTGAGGGCAGGAAGCATCCAGCATGGGAGAAAGATGGAGGCCGGAAGACATAGCCAGTCTAGTCTTTCCACGTTCTTCTACCTGCTTCATTCTAGCAGAGCTGGCAGCTGATTGTGCCCACCCAGATTGAGGGTGGGTCTGCCTCGCCCAGTCCACTGACTCAGATGTTAATCTCCTTTGGGAACACCCTCACAGACACACCCAGGAACAATACTTTGCATCCTGCAATCCAATCAAGTTGACACTCAATGTTAACCATCATAGTGGATCTATTTCTAGACTCTTTATTCTGTCCCATTGATCCTTATGTCTGTTGTTTTGCCAATACTATCACTGTCTTCATGACTATAGTTTTACATAAGTCTTGAAATCAGGTTTGTGAATCATCCAACTTTGTTTTTCTTCTTCAAAATTGTTTCAGCTATTCTAGTTCCTTTGACTTTTTATATACATTTTATAGTTACCTCATTGTTTTCTGAAACAAAAAACTTTGCTAGGATTTTTACTGGAATTGAGTTGAATTTAAAGATAAGTTTTGGGAAACTGACATATTAACAATATTGTCTTCCAATTTATGAACACTATTTATCTCTCTACTTATTTAGGTCTTATTTAGTTTTATCTATGTTGCAGTTTTCACCACATAGATCTTATATGTAATTTGTTAGATTTATTTATGGTTTTGGTACAATTTTAAATTATACTTTTAAAGAAATCAATTTCCAATCATTTATTGCTAGTCTGTAGAAATATGATTGATTTTTGTTTATTAACTCTGTATATGGCAATCTTGCCAAACTTACTTGTTCTGTAGATCCTTTGGGATTTTTGACCTAGACAATGTGTCTCTATTATCAGAAATAGTTTTTTCTTCTTCCTTCCCAATCTGTTTACTTTTTATTTCTTTTTCTTGTGTTTTTGTGCTAGTTGGGACTTCCAGTTATAACATCAAAAAGAAGTGGTGAGAAAGGAGAACTTTACTTTAATCTTGATCATAGTGGAAAAGAAATTGTTTACCATGGCGTGTGATATTAGCTATAGGAGTTTTGCAGATGCACTTTTTCAGGTTGAGGAAATTCTCTTCTATCTCTAGCTTAGTGAGATTTT